ATGTTTGTTTGTTTATTTATTTATTTATTTTTGAAAGTTCAAAAGCTTCAAATCATTGCAGTACGAGTTTCATTTTATTTTTGTAAACTTGATAGCTGACATCCCTTTCCTATTTCAGCTGTGAAGTCACATATGGGTTTTAAAGCATCTTTTCCTGCAGCGATTCTTGCTTTTGCTAGTTACAGAACAATAAACATCCGTGTTTATGAGTGCTGATGAGATTCTGAATTCTCCTCTCCTCTCATTGTTCCTGCTGTGAAATGATTGCCTAGTTTAAAGCCACCCAAATAGAGACTGATTGCTGTTATGAACAGAGCGGGCTATTCATAGAAATAACCTTCTGTCTCAGCAACCCGGGCAGCAGTGGAAGCTGCATCCTCTACCTCAGAAGTCAGTCTCGCAGCTCCCCCACCCTGTCCCGGGCGCTGAGTCTTTTACTCACTTGTTTGTCATTTAACCACTTAACCTCTCAGCCACTCAGCTCTGTCTCCTCTGTCAGATGTAGCTATTTGACATTTCCAGGCAAAACACATCTTTTTCTTGGTATTCATTAGTGTCCATCAAACTGTATCTTTTTTTTATATTAAAAAATAAGGATGTGCTGAGGTAGAGTGCTAGAAACAGACCTTTATTTTCTTAGCAATGGACAAATGGCATAAATGGGTCTTCCTAGGGTGAACCCTGTGTCTTTCGGAAGCTAAATGATTTTCTGACAGGATAACAAATTGGTTGATTTTTTTGAAGGGAGATTTACAGAGAATTTCTTTTCTCAGATGAACAATTCAGAAAATGTTGTGAAAGGATAAAAAAATGAGAGAGATCTGAAAGCTACTTTAATATAAATGGATTCTGCTCAGAAATGTGGACATGCGGTACTGAGATATCTTTAAAATATCTCTCCCTTGGCTGACACATATTTAAGATAAGTGTTATTACTTTGTATAAGAAAATAGTTTTAGGCTGCCTTTAGAGTCATGTGTATGACAAGTTAAAAATATTACAGATATGTTTTGTTTTATGAAATTCAAATCTATATAATAAACATTTTCACTTCATTTTGTGTTTAAATAACAAAGTAGTCACACTGCACTTAAATTCATACTCACTTTTTTATTTGTATAAGACAATATTTGAGGTCAAGGCATTAAGGATTATTTTGTTAACTGAATGCTTAGTATTTTGAGTAGTTAACTTTTCAGGTCACTCTATGACAGAATGAAGATCATTAGTCTCTGTGCTCAGATGGATGTGAATTTATGTTCAAGGGTTTTGAGTAAGCATGAGTTTAGCAAGACAAGAAGAATGTGAAGTGGTGAGGAGATCCTTATGTTAGAACTATAAAATCAGCTTCTGCATAGCTTCAATTTCTGTATGTGTATAATGGAATGGAAACGGTGAGATAATTCACATCATATATCAACTTGATAGGGCCATGGTACCTTGATACAATACATTATTGGTGTGTTTTAGATGGAAAGTACAAGTGTATTATAAAAGCAAGCAAAGCACATTGCCTTTCTCAATGCCAGTGGGTCACAGAGCCAGCAGAAGGTCTCCAGAGCCCAACTTTTTGAGCTTCAATATTTCTCTTTTTCTGTCTTCACATAACAAATTGAAAACTGACTACTTTGAGTCTTGTGTTTGCTGCGTTTAGACCAGAACTTTCCTGGTTCTCCCTTGACTTCATGGTTGCTTTCCTGTGTATCTGGTTGCTGACTATAAAGACAAGTTGATCATTGGGATTAAATCAGAGACACAGATATTAATACAAACACTAATGAATTCCTGATTTTTGATAATGAAGCTAAAATTATATAATGGAAAAAAGCATCTTTAACAAATGGTGCTGGCATAACTGGACGTCAACATGTAGTATAATGCAAATAGATCCATATCTTTCACCATGCACAAAACTCAAGTTCAAATGGATCAAAGATCTCAATATAAATTTGACCATACTGAACCCAACAGAACAGAAAGTGAGAAGTAGCTTTCAATGCATGGACACAGGAGGCCACTTTCTAAATATAACACCAGTAACACAGACACTGAGAAAAACAATAAATGGTACCTCCTGAAACTGAGAAGCTTCTGTAAAGCAAAGAATACAGTCAATATGACAAAAAGGCAGAATACTAAATGGGAAAAGATCTTCACCAACCCCACATCAGTCAGAGGACTGATCTCTAAAATATATAAAGAACTAAAGAAATTAGACATCAAAATACCAAATAATTTAATTAAAAATGGGGTACAGATCTAAACAGAGAATTTTCAATGGAAGAACCTTGAATGGTTGAAAGACACTTAAGGAAATATTTAACATCCTGAGCCATCAGGAAACTGCAAATCAAAACAACTCTGAGATACTATCTTACACCAGTCTGAATGGTTAAGATAAAAAAACACCAATGACAGCTTATGCTGGAAAGGTTGTGTAGCAAGGAGAACACCTCTTCATTGCTGGTGAGAATGCAAACTTGTATAACCACCTTGGAAACCAGTATAGAGGTTTCTCAGAAACTTGGAAATCAACCCACTCAAGACCCAGCAATACCACTCCTGGGCATATATGCAAAAAATGCTCAATCACACTACCAGGACATTCGTTCAACTATGTTCATAGCAGCATTATTTGTAATAGCCAGAACCTGGAAACAACCTAGATGTCCCTCAAACGAAGAATGGATAAAGAAAATTTTATCATTTTATATTTACACAATGGAGTACTACTCAGAGGGAAAAAAAACAATGACATCTTGAAATTTGCATGCAAATAGATAGAAAAACGATCCTGAGAGAGATAACCCAGACCTAGAAAGATGAGAATGGTATGTACTCACTAACTGTAAAGCAAAGGATAATGTGCCTATAGTCCATGACCCCAGAGAAGCTAAGTAACAAGGTGAACCCTAAGAGAAACATAGATAGATCTCCCTGGGAAGAGGAAACAGACAAGATCTTTTGAGAAAATTGAGAAAAAAGGGATAAGGGAGGGAGGAAGGGGAGGAGGAGAGAAGAAGGGGAAGGGGAGGAGAACTTGATACTCGAGATGGGGGGAAGGCCAGCGATGGAAAGCAAGAAAAGAGATAGCTTGATTGAAGGAGCCATTGTGGGCCTAGCATGAAACTTGGCACTAGAGAAATTCCCAGGAATCTACAAAAAATGACCCCAGCTAAGACCCACAGTGGATCACTGGGCTGAGCTCCCAAAGTCCAGTTGAAGAGAGGGAGAAGTGAGAACACAAGCAAAGAGGTCAAGACCATGATGGGGACACCCACTGAAACAGCTCACCTGAGCTAATGGGAGCTCACCAACTACAGCCTGACAGGAAAGGAGCCAGCAGAGGACCAAACTAGGCCCGTTGAATGTGGGTGACAGTTGTATGGCTGGAGCAACTGTGGGGCCACTGGCAGTGAGACCAGGATTTGTCCCTGCTGCTTGTACTGGCTTGTTGGAACCCAGCCTAGATATAGAGGTGAGTATGACCTAATTATGAAGGTCAGGGAAAGCCTTCCAAAGAAGCAAGGATGTGTTGATACCTGAGGGATTTGTTAGGGTTAACAGAGCAGGAGACAGTTGTACAAGCAGAGGAAATAGTGGATTCCACTTCAGCCATCTGAGAAGCTGTTACCACAGCTTATTGCAGAAGCTTAAATATGTCAAAATAAATGCTAAAAAGGAAAGTTAGTTCAGAGGTTAAGCTGCTGATTAAAGAAGATTGTGTTGTTGGGAAGGAAGAAAAAGTACTACTCAGGAATTCAGACTTCTGCAATGTAATTTTATCTGAGCTGACCCTGTTACTATAGGAAACTAATTAACCTTTTTGTGCCCTGGTTGCTTTTCTGCCGGGTGAAGATAATAGAGACCCACTAATAGCAATGAAAAGTCTCCTGTAAACATCAACAATTATATAACTAATATAAACACCTGTATATTCTGTTGTTAAATCTATCTCTTAACTCAGAATTTAGCATCTTTTCCCTGCATAAATGTTATTTAGATTTTACTTATTGTCAAATATTGTTTTGTGTATGAGAAAATACTCGTGTTTATCTTCACGTATAGTCAAGTTTGTGTTCATTGACAATGTGTTCTCTAACGTACACTGTTTAGTCAGCAGGACCCTGGCTCCTAGATAATCATAAAGATTTCCAAGTAGATGGTTTAACAAAGTCCAGGGACAACGAACACAGAAGAAAAGTAATGAGTGGAATGAGATGGGTTGGGAGGATAGATTATTTTAACTGCCTTTTAAATGACAATTCTTCTTGCTTGTTACAAAAGAAGTTTACATTTTTAATATTCCATACACCCATTGCAATTACCTTAACTATAGCTAAGCAATTCAAATTGACTCAGCAGGCACATAACACCATGCCAAGTAGCAAAAAGACAGCTCCCCTAGCTTGTTTTCTTTGAATTCCCCCTCGTGTGTGTGAACTCATAGATTCACATGTAAACTTGCATCTCTTTGTGATATTACAAGTCATTTTATACACAGTATTTATAAAACTATTCCTTCATTGTCAGACAGATCACCCATTTCATAATTGTCTTTGGTTGTCATGTTGTTCTTTCTCTAGCAAAGAAAATCATAATCAGTCTTCTGGAATACTAAAATGTTTACAGAATCAAAATAGTGATTTCTTCATGCACTTGGGAAATATTTTTTAAAACCTACATGTCTAATCAATATGCCGGCTGTTTCCACGATGGTAAAATGAGCCACACATGTGGCTGCAGTGCTTGTGTGGGTGGAGTTTTGGATACAGCCAAATGATGCCTAAGCATGGGTTAGGAGTCATGGATGGTCAGCAAGGCAAGATGAACTCCTGGATGGAGTTAACTGTTCATTTCTTATCCAGTTTTCAGGCAAAGATTCTGGTGTAGTTCGCTTAACCTTTGACTTAACAGAAACAGGGAATAGAAACCCAGCCTTTTCTTGGCTGTCTGAACAACATCTCCAATCCGTGCTAGGTGCTTCATGAGGTTCTTACCTTTCTGGCCTTTCTTTCCTAGTCCTGGTTTGTTCCATCTCCGACATTGCTCCAGTCGGTTCTGCTGGACACTCAGAATCAGGATTTGTGGTAAAATCTGTGAGGGAATGTTCCTCAGTGATGTTGCCTATGGTAAAGAAATTGCATTTAATAGAAGAACACACACCACTCTTGACACAGTTTTATATGGCAACATAATCCACAGTGATGTGGATTCTCTTCCAGAAAAAATTTCAGGAGGACTCTTCTCACAGGAGGGCTAGCCTGAAGATACTATGTCAGGCCAATGAAAAGTACAATGAAAATTTTGTTCATTACATGATAAAAGTTTCAAATGATATGTGGCCTTGTAATCGTAAGAGTAGAAAATGAGCTCTCAAAACCCAAAAGGCACTGTTGGTTCTGTTAAAGCACTCATGATTCATGACTAAAATTAACACATGATAAATTCATTAAAGTGAAAAGGGCAGACATTTTATGTCCTTGGCATTAGTTTAGAATTCACACTCTAATTTTTATGAAATTAAATTTCTAAATTTGATTGGTTATCTGTAGTTTTGGATTTCTTTCTATAGAAATAACATCAACTGGTATATAATAGCTCTAATTTAAATTCAGAAATAGTTTTTCAAAACTATTTTATCAAAGAATGTCCAACTAATTGGTAAATACTTGAATTATAGGGATTTCAAAGATTTAAAAAAGTAAATAGTTGAATATTAAAATAAATTATAAAAGGTAAAAATAATAAAAACACATTTGAGTAGCTATTCATTATCCACAGTGTCTAATTTATTTTAAGCAAATGTGCTATATTTGGGAAATTGTAAACAAGACCCAGTCATCAATGTTATTGTCCTGCAGTGAATCAGGTGGCAAGGGGGAAGGAAGATAGGGCTGAGGAACTTGCTAGCAGACGTTTTTTGACCTGCCAGCTCCCAAACAATGATTTAGAGATCTATTATTAATTATGAAATCTTGGTCTTCAGCTTAGATTTGTTACCAACTAGCTCTTATAACTTAAATCAACCTGTTTTTATTAGTCTACATTCTGCCACATGGTTCATTACCTTTCCTCCCTAATGTATATATGCTTCCTTCCAAGCCTTTCTGGCATCTCCTGTGTGCCTAAATTCACCCAAGAGTCCTTCTTTCCCCAAAGAATCCCACCTATTCTCTCTGCCTAGGTATTGTCCATTCAGCTTTTTATTAAACCAATCAGAAGGTGCCTTGGCAAAGATACATCTCCATAGTATACTAAAAGATTTTCCTACAACAGGGAAGTATTGTGGGGGACAGTTATAACTGAGGGGCATTTGAGTGGTTTAGGGAAACCCAGTGCAGTAGAATCTTACTAAAATTAGGAAAGTGATCCAAATGAACTGTACAAATAATGGGGGAAATGGAGTCCCAGCTGGTCATCTCTTGTCACCAAACAAAGCGTCTAGCACCAGGACTGGGTTATATCCAACTGAGTTCTTGACCAAAGTTGTCCTTTGGAAATCCAAAACAAACCCATACTGTTGTCAAGACAATAGGTTGCTCTCCACAAACCGATAACATGGCTCCATTGCTGAATACAACACCCACAAAAGCCATTGAACATGTAGAGACAGAGCTGGTCCTTGAATAGAACCTTTACCCCTATATCATAAAGTCTTTGGTACAGGAAGGCACTCTGCAGGCTACCAAAAGGGAAATGTAAACACCAGTCTAGGCACAGACCCTTTGGTCTACAGAGGCATCATCCCTGGAGGTTATACTAGGGTAATGGTGGCAAGAAAGATTATAGGAGTAACCAACCAACATCTGATTTGACTTAAGGCCCACTACATGAGATAGAATCCATACTCAACACTGTTTGGGTGACCAAGAACCAGAGCCAATAGATCTAAGGTAAAACCAAATACTACTGCTCTTAAAAAGTAGTGATAAATGATAGTCTGCTATACTAATTGATTAGTACCTTATTCAGTCATCATCAGAGAAGTTTCCTTCTGCAACAGATGGCAACAAATACAAACACCCATAGCCAGACAAGAGAGAAGGGGGGAGATGGGGAGAGGCAGAGGGAGAGGGAGAGGGAAAGGGAGGAAGAGGGAGAGGGAGAGGGAGAGGGAGAGGGAGAGGGAGAGGGAGAGGGAGAGGGAGAGGGAGAGGGAGAGGGAGAGGGAGAGGGAGAGGGAGAGGGAGAGGGAGAGATCTTGGAATACACAGCTCTGAATGGGTTGTCTCCATCAGATTCTCCTCCCCTCAGAGCTCAGGTAATCTTTTGGAAGATGAGGCAAAGTACAAGACCCAGAGGGGATAAATGACACCAAGAAAACATGGACCTCTAATCATCACGAACAAAGCTCCCACCCACTCACAGAAACTGAAGCAGTAAACACACGTCATTACCAGGTCCTCTTTGTATATATTACAGCTTTCAGTTAGCATTTTTATGGGATTCCTGAGTGTGTGAATGTGTGGGTCTCTAATTCTCACACCGTATCCTGGGATTTTTTTTCCTTTTGCTGGTTTGCCTTGTCCAACTTTGATGTGACAGCTTTTGTTTTATCTTAATCATATTTTATGTTGTGATTTTTTTAATCTCTTAGGACCTGCTCTTGGGAATAGATCATGTTGGGAGTAGATGTGGGGAAGAACTGGGAGGAGTAGAGGTAGAAGAAACTGTAATCAGGATATAGTAGAGCAGGAAAGGACCTATTTTCAATAAAAGGTAAAACAAAAAAGCATAAAGCAACCTAAAATTAGACATTTAGAGGTATAAAATTAATAAGTCAGGAATGGTCACACTGTAAAAGTTTTCATTATATAAAACCTTTAACATAAAATTTTCAAAGATTCCTTAAAATCTTTCAGTGCAATAAGCCCTCAGAAATATTTTATTCAGGAATAAAAAATGAGTCACTGCTTATTGTTTCTAAAAAGTTTGTGACTAAGAAAGCTTGAACTCCTCACTTTCCCAGGGGACTACTTTTATCCTGGATTTATAGTACTTTTTTTTTTACAAGATAGAAAGCACACTACTAAATATATTCTCATTATGTTTAAATGGACTCTCCCAAGTGTTTACACTATTTTGAGTGCTGAGGAGCACTAGTGTAATTACAACATTAAGGTCTGTGTTAGAACTATCTTCTAGAAGAAACACTGAAGTGTGTTTGAATTCTTCCCCCCAAAGTGCAGTGCAGCATGTTCTCTGCCCTGGTACTTAGGTACGGAATGTTAATTAGTCCATCAATAGCCAATAGCTTTCAGAGTGAAAGAACACTTTCCGTGGGAAGGAATGGTGTTTGATAAAACGCAGGAGAAGGATCTGTGCTCCCTATTTGTTTGTGTCAAGGCACCTTTGGTTTTACCATTTTTCTTTATACAACAAAAAGAATTACTTTTTCCTCATATCTCCAACATCAGGCTGTATTACTCTTGTTGTCTAAAATGTGCAGACTATCTTTTCTCATATCCATACACACTGAGACAATTACTGTATCTTTCAAAGTGGAGTTCTTAGCCTCCATCTGTGGATGTCTAGTACATTTATGGACCAGAAACCTGGAGACCGGGCACACACAAACACACGCATATACAGAGAGAGAGAGAGAGAGAGAGAGAGAGAGAGAGAGAGAGAGAGAAGACCTAGACATCATGTGCTTCTCATGCTTGTCTGAATGAAATAGTGGTTATAGATCACTGAGTTCTCATATCTTTGTGGTTGTGGGAACACCTCTTTTGAAAGAGAAATGTGTTTAAAATAGACTGTGAAATATGACTTTAAAAAGTTGTGAATATTTAGACCAGGCAGAAAACAATGTGACTGTTACTACTTCTTTTCTAATTAAGGGTTTATTTTTATTATGTGTATGTATGTGTGTCTTTGTGAGACTACGCCACAAGTGTGAAGGTTCCTATGGAGATAGAAGAGGACTTTGGATCTCTCAGAGCTAGAGTTATAGGTGGTTACGAGTCTGACATATGTTTTGAGAGTTGAACTTACACCCTTTGAAAGAGTAGTAAACATTCTTAACCATGAGATCATCTCTGTCGCTACTAACTCATGATTGCACAGCCATATATCTATCTACTGTACCACGTACATTTATAGCACATGCACATCTTCACTGTGGTCTTTTCTTTCACTAAGATCTTATTCAGCAGCACATTTTGAATTACTACCAAGCAGATCTTAGCACCTTGGTATATCTTCTAGGGCCCTTACCACACCCTTCTAAAGAGACACAGATTCTATAAAAATTCTAAGAGACTTAGGAATTAATTAAAACACATTTCAACTTGTGGATATAACAATAATTATGAAACAAGTACTTAATGGTTTGTTAATGAAGATGAGAAGCCAGTATTGCCTGTTCTTGAATTCAAAGTAGAACAACTTAAATAAAATAACACAAGAGGATTAACACAAAAGGATACTCATCAACTGTGGTTCAGTGAGGGTGTCTTTTCATCCACACAGTGAGTTCCATGTGGCAACAGATGGTCAGAGTTTTCTTATCCTCATAAAAGAGAAATATAAAATATAAGCCAAATCTTGCTCTCAAATCTAGGGGAAGTTTGTCAGCTACACAGTGAGCTGGTCCTCAGCTTCACACGTGGACAACAGGGTCATATGGATAGGGTAAGTCTTCCTGTTATGGGACATGACATTACTATTGCCAGATCTCATCAGTGCAATTGTTCAAAATCTGACCCAGGGTGTATGTCCATAGTATATACTGAAATGCAGAATCAAATTGATATGCCATGGTTGCCTTTACCGAATGCTTAAAAATCAGTGCTATTGAGTTTACCTTCCACACACCTGTCTCTAGACTGGCAGCATGTCACCCTATGCTTGTGTAATATACTTCCAGTTTGCCTGGGCCTGATGCAGCAATGCATCATGGAGATCTGAGCAGATGTGAAACATCTGCTGTCTTTTCAAGTCAGGAAATAGATGATGTGAAACACATTAACTTTCTGCATTTTTTTCAGTAGCGCTAACTAAACGTTAGAAGAGAAAGGATCCAAGGGAAAATCTATTTTGGAATAAGATTTCAGTGAGAAAAGTACTCAACTGTTTGTTTTTCTTTGGATGCATATGAAAACAGAAAATTTAAAATGCTT